GCTCCTAAGCTCCCGTGTCACAGGGAGGCCCAAGCTCCTGGCTCTCCTCCTTGTCCAGGTTACTCCCTCCTGCTTCCACTTCTGCTTCTTGTTGCTGGATTTTGTTTTTTCGAGATAGGGTCTCACTATGCTCAAGCTGTCCTAGAACTTATGACCCTCCTTGTCTCTGCCTCCTGCGTGCTGAGATTACTGGCACGTGCCACCATGTCTGGCTCCGGCTTCCTGCCTCTGATGATCATCTGCTGTCGTCATCCATGTCCCTAGGTGGCTATGTAATGACCAGATTGACGCGGGCACTCGACGCTGGGCTGTGGAAGGCCTGGCTTACCTCACCTTTGATGCCGACGTAAAGGAGGAATTTGTGGAGGATGAGGCTGCTCTGAAGGCCCTGTTCCAGCTCAGCAGGGTAGTTCTGCGGGTTCCTGTTGTCATGTCAACCTAGGAGCAGGACCTGGGATGAGAGCTTGCCAGGCTTTGGCAGGTCTCACCAGTGTCCCTGGTGATGCAAAGCCAGCTAGTGTGGCCTTGGTGCCTACAGTGTCTGGCGCACAGTTGTCCCAGAGGAGTTAAGAGCCGGGATTGTGAGCTCTGAATCTGGGGTTGAGGCAGGTTCCCAGTGTCACTCTAGGTCCCAGGTTGGGCTGTGGGGGTGGGAGGGAGGCCATGCTGCCCTGCTGAATGTCCTTCTGTCCTCACCAGTCCGAGGAGAGGCCAGTACTCTTTGCAGTAGCCTCGGCTCTGGTCAACTGCACCAACAGCTATGACTATGAGGAACCTGACCCCAAGATGGTGGAGCTGGCCAAGTATGCCAAGCAGCACGTTCCTGAGCAGCACCCTAAGGTACGGGTACACTAGGAAGGCCTAGGGGTACCTGCTATTGGCACAGTTGAGCAGGCAATTAATCCTCAGCAGAAAACTATCCCTTAAACTATTTCCAAGCTGTGTCTTGGCTGTTTGTTTCCACGCTCATCAGACTCTACGTGAGAAGAGTCCATAGTTCCCTGTCTAGTCTTCTGGGGCCCCTCCTCAACTGCCTCCTTTCATAGGACAAACCAAGCTTCGTGCGGGCTCGTGTGAAGAAGCTGCTGGCCGCGGGGGTGGTGTCAGCCATGACATGTATGGTGAAGACGGAGAGCCCCGTGCTGACGAACTCCTGTAGGGAGCTGCTCTCCAGGTCAGCCAGCCTGCCTCCTCTAACTCCCGTCTCCGCCTGCAGCATGCCTTGGGAGTGGGATCTGTGCCCTGAGAGTCCTAGAGTGTTTGGTTGCCTTACTAGCTTCAGAATGGAATGCCTGCCTGCCAGAGCCTTGAACCCCACCTGCCCATGCCTTCTCCCTGCAGGGTCTTCCTGGCTTTGGTGGAAGAAGTGGAGGATCGAGGCACCGTGGTTGCCCAGGGAGGAGGCAAGGTAAGCTGCTTTCCGACTCCTTCCTGATTCTGAGCATCCACCTATAAAACATGACTCAGTGGCTGCTGTCCTCGGGGGACACTATTAGTGACCACAGGAACTGCTGGTGAGGTGACGCTAATGTGGACAGGCTCTTCGGAGGCCCATAAAGGTCCTGAGTTTGCCTCCTTTTCCCACTGTGGCCCCAGGGCTCAGCACAACCCGTGTTTAGCACTTAATAGGTGGTTGAGGAAGTGTTTGGGTGGTTTTATTGAGAGACCTCAGAGTGAGGAAGAGTCTGAGCACAGGGTAGTCTCAGGACCAAGGAGAGAGTGAGTGGGTTGATGGCTTAGACCTTAGACTCCCAGGTCCAGGCTGGGCATTGACAGGGCTGGGGCTGTTCCGACAGGCTCTGCTCCCGCTGGCCCTGGAAGGCACTGATGTTGGGCAGACAAAGGCAGCCCAGGCTCTTGCCAAACTTACCATCACCTCTAACCCGGAGATGACCTTTCCTGGCGAGCGGGTATGTGTTGTGTCTCCTTGTTCCAATCATGACCTCTCCTGTTTCCTCCTTGTGCCCCGATGGCCTCCGGCATGGGCTTTCCCTGGTGATCAATGGGAAAATGGCATTTTTGCTGAGTCCTGGGGGAGGGGACAGCTGTAGAGAACGCCACTGTCGCAGGTGGGCTCCATGCTGTGGATCAGTGGGTGGTGGGGGGTCGCTGCAGTGGGCTCTCTGATAGGTGGGATGTTTCACAGATCTACGAAGTGGTTCGGCCCCTTGTCTCTCTGCTGCACCTCAACTGCTCAGGACTGCAGAACTTTGAGGCTCTCATGGCCTTAACGAATTTGGCAGGGATCAGCGAGAGGCTCAGGTAAGGTCCCAGGGGAGCTTGGCCCAGGGATTTGGGTGAGTCCCAGTATGCACTCTACAGTTGGGAAAACAGTTCCTCGTCATTGTTTGTGCCTCACAGTAACTCCTGTGTAACATCCAGATGAAGAGGCAATGCCAAGGGTGGTGCCAAGGGCGGTGCCAAGGGGGCCCAGGATGAGAGCAGTGCTCTGAAGTCAGATTGCCTGGGGTTCAAGTCTGGCTCCCTAAACCCAGTAGCTAGAGAAGCCCCAAGCAGTGAGGATCTGGGGCCCCAACTGTGCCCTCTACTTCCCCCTCCTCATCCCCAGGTTGCTGACACTCACTGGCTCGCTGTATGACCCTAAGCAAGTCTTTAAGTCATTCTGCCTCAGTTTCTCCTCTGTGAGTTAGTTAAGTATCAAACCCATGAAGCAGCCGCATCGAGAGTTCCTTGAGAAAATATAAAAGGCTTCGGCAAGCACAAGAGGGTGCGGCGGTTCATGCCAAGGGAGGAATTCTAGGCCAGGCCAGGCTATAAACTGTCTCAAAAGCCCTCCCCTCCTCCCAAAGCCCTTAGTTCATAGGTACCTGCCCTAGCAGTAATCACAGTCAACATGCGTTAGCTGTTGTTACTAATTGTGACCTAGGCCACATTGCTCACCACCCAGCCCAGTTTCCCCTTTGGCCAAATAGTCATGGTAGCCACGCCTACACTTTCACCATGGAGTGAGGTGAGCGTTAGGTAAGATAAGTCAAGCATCATGGGGTTATGGTGAGTATTAGGTGAAATAAGCCAAGCAGCTTGGTCAGGCTCAGTGCTCAGATGACTGGCGTCTGCATCGCCGTCGTCACCACCGCCCTGCTCGGCTAATTGGCAGCATGTCTAACAATCCTACGCTGCTCCAGCCAGGCCAGACGGCTGGGCAGCACTGGAGTTGACACCCGGGATGGGAAAGTCCTTGGACTTTGCTAGGGGAGCAGCTCAGCTCAGAGCTCAGCCACGTGGGGGATAGGGTGGCAGGTTATCGAGACGCTGGTCCTTCTGTCCTGCAGACAGAAGATCCTGAAGGAAAAGGCTGTGCCCATGATCGAGGGCTACATGTTCGAGGAGCACGAAATGATCCGCCGGGCAGCCACCGAGTGCATGTGTAACTTGGCCATGAGCAAAGAGGTGAGGGTTGGCCCAGGTGGTCCCCGTGACAGGGACGCGAAGGGGCCTGTACTTCTACTAGGCTTTGGGCCCCGGTGGCATGGTCTTTGCCTCCATCTGGTCACAGGTGCAGGATCTCTTTGAAGCCCAGGGCAACGACCGGTTGAAGCTGCTGGTGCTGTACAGTGGAGAGGATGACGAGCTGCTGCGAAGGGCTGCTGCCGGCGGCCTGGCAATGCTTACCTCCATGCGGCCCTCACTCTGCAGCCGCATCCCACAAGTGGTTAGTGCCTGGCCCTGGTAGGGGAGGATGAGGGAAGTAGCAACTCCCTGCGTGGTGGCATTGCTGTTCTGTGGGTGTGGTGGGGGAGGTCCTAGGCTATAGATGCGTTTTTCTACCAGGGTTGAGCCTGTTGCTGGGTCTTCACACCTGCCATTTCCTACAGACCACACACTGGCTGGAGATCTTGCAGGCCCTGCTTCTAAGTCCCAACCAAGAGCTCCAACACCGGGGCGCTGTGGTGGTGTTGAACATGGTGGAGGCCTCAAAGGAGATCGCCAGCACCCTGATGGAGAGCGAGGTGCTGGAGATCCTGTCAGTGTTAGCCAAGGGAGAGGAGAGCCCAGTCACCAGGGCTGCTGCAGCCTGCCTGGGGAAAGCAGTGGAATATAGACTCATCCAGCCCAACCAGGACGGAGAGTGAGGATCGGCCCCAGGCCCACTGCTCACGCATCTGCCACCCACCGCAGCCCTGAGAGCCAGGACAGAAGCGGCTTTGGCCAACAGGGCTGGAATGCTGGACCCTTGGCTCTTTCCCCCAGCTGCACTTTGGTGTTCTGTTCTGAGAGATCACACACTACACAGCCCTGCCCTGCCAGCACTCAGAAGGGTCCTATATTTGTGGAGAGCTGGGAATGGGGAAGGTGCATCCTAGCTCAAGCCTGTGGATTATGGGCGTCAAGAAGGGCACAGCAGCATCCTTGCAAGCCGTGACCACCACCAGAGCCTGCCAGCAGGCACACCGCTCTAATAAACTGTGTGGAACTGAAGTGTGTCTTTGTGGGGTTGGGGGAGGCTGCTGAGGGTGGGAGTCTCTGGGCAGTAGCTGGGCATCAACAAGTGTGCTGTAGAGGACTGACCTGCAAGAGAAGGAAGGAGTGGTTTCCCACCCTAGGGCCCATTTATAGTTGAGACTGGGCCTCGATATGTGTAGCCAAGCTGACTTCACACTGACGATCCTGTCTCAGCCTTTAAAGTTGTAGGAATTACAAAGCGTTCTTTATTAGCTTTGGTGGAAGGGTAAGCGTAAAGCCTAAGAAATTGACCAAATTACAGTGTCCTTGAGATAAGCGGTTTTAGAGGAGAGCAGTATAGATGCAGGCTCCTGGATGCATTTGTTGTGATAATTTGAGTTCTTGATCTCCAGTCAGGCAGTGTTCGACATTTGGGACTGGTGTGCACTTCCCTCAGTGAAAATTTTTCTTTAGCTGTGCCCAGTTGAAGATTTGGCTCAGCAGGGCAGTGGTGGTGCACGCCCTTTTTAATCCCAGCACTCGGGAGGCAGATCCGGGTGGATCTCTGTTGAGTTCAAGGCCAGCCTGGTCTACTAAGTGACTTCCAGGGTAGGCTCCAAAGCTACAGCGAAACCCTATCTCGAAAAACAAACGATAAAAAGATTTGACTCAAGCAAGTTCCCCTAGCGGAGGACACCGATCTTAGAGGCGGGAAAGCTTAGGGCTCATTGGCTCAGTAGATGTAAACGACAGAGCCTGGGGCCAATCAGCGAAGGCACTAATACTACCGCTTCCTGTCTGGGCTACGGTCCTGAACCACAATCCCCTTGCTCGAAAGGAATGGCGGGCGTCAGGGCTTGGTCCTCGCTTGCCGTTTCCCTCCGATCTTCATGAATATTCCTTCAGTGGTTTCATTCGCGTCCGCTGGTGTCGGCGCTCAAAGGAGACTTCAGCCCACTCGCGGGAGCGGCCCGCATGGACTCACGGAGGATTCACAGGGACAGACAGGTAAACCGGCGCATGTGAGCACGTCAGGGAGCCCGCCCCCACAAGTGGTGACGTCACCGATCGCGCCTGCGATTGGCTCCGGAAAGGCTGCTGCATCCAGTGACCGCCTTGCCTGGCGCGCGGCGCTTTAAACACTTTCTACCTCGCTGGTCCATCCCCGAGCTGAGCCCTGCAATTCGCTGGCCAGTTTCCTTCGAGATTTCCCGGCGAAAGGGCTTTCCTGTTGGGTTCAGGCTACAGGGGCATGGGTAAAGTCAAGAAAAGATGAATACTTAATATTTCTTACAGTGGCACACTGGATTTGAGCCAAAAGTGGGAGACATGACCAGCTCCAGATAGTTCAACAGTCACTCATTGGATAGGACCGTTGGCCAAAGCTCTGCTCACGGAACGATAGTGGGACGGACACTGATCGCCTCTGATTAGGAGAGTGGAATCCAGATGGTATCCGGTCACTATTTTACAGATAATGCAGCTGTAGCCCCTTGGAAGGCCAGACTTTCCTGTTTGCAATCATCTCCTTGGGTTGCAGCCTTAACCTTCCATCCTGCAGGCCACGCCCCAGCCAGGTGGCTACCCACAGAAGACTCTGTGAATATGGCCAAGGAACAGCATGGGACCTGGTTTGGCTTTGGTTTCTGCGGCTTTGGGCAAGTGCTGGGTTCTGGGAATGGGCGCCATTCGGTGCACAGTCCCGAACCACTGCGTGCCAGTGAGGACGTTTGCCGAGTGAGTGCTAGCTGGAGCTACACCGCCCTGGTGACCCGTGAGTACCCCCACAACCCCACCTCCAGGCCTGTTCCCTGTACACCTGCCCAAACATTCTTAATATGCCTGCCCAGAAATACCTTACACCCTTTGTCTGGCAACCTCGCTGCACCCCTCTCTGGGTCCTTGGTACGTGTTCCACCCCACTCTCTACCCACGCAGGTGGAGGCCGGGTGGAGCTGTCAGGCTCCGTGAGCAGCTCAGCAGATGGCTGCCGGGATGCGTGGGCTTCCGAGGGACTCCTGGTGGTGTTGCGTGACAAGGACGGGTCCAGCACAGAGCTGCGCGCCTGGACACCAAGCTCGGCATTGCAGGGGGAGCCCCTCTGGGTCCAGAACCTGGTTTCTGGGGCAGACGACCCAGGGGAAGATGAACCCAGCAGCGAGACTAGGGCGAGTACCCTACCGCTGCTGCCCCGTGCCCATGCCTATGTGAACCCGCAGCCCCCCTTCTGCCAGCCTCTGGCCCCAGAGCTGCGGGTGCGCCAGCTGGAACTGGGTGCCGAGCATGTGCTGATGCTGTGCGAAGCCGGTCAGGTGTTTTCCTGGGGTGGAGGCAGGTGAGGACCAGCGGAATGTGATTTGGTGAAGCTTGAGGAGGTGGTCTCTTGCATGTACCCGTTGCTGATTAAGGACTCCCTTGATCAGGCACGGACAGTTGGGCCACGGGACGCTGGAGGCGGAGCTGAAGCCAAGGCTGTTGGAAGCCCTGCAAGGCCTCTGGATGGCTGAGGTGGCTGCGGGTGGCTGGCACTCTGTGTGTGTGAGTGGTGAGTGACCTGGGGCTGTCCTTCCTCTTGTTTTTTTTTTCTTTTTTTCTTTCTTTTCTTTTTTTTCTTTTTTTTTTTTTTTTTGTGTGTGTGTGGGTGGTCTAGCCCAGGCCTCATTCCGAACTCAACCCAAACCAGTCATTCCTGACTCTTTAGTGTCTGCAGATTCAGCCCGTTGTCTCCACCACCCTCTTAGGCCTTGCCTGCTGCTATTGCTGCAGTTATCGCTGTTACTGGGTTCTCCTCCACTCCCACACATCTGCTAGGCACCAAGGTTGCTTTCTAAAATACTCCAGAAGGGAAACACACTTATCCAGGGAACTGCTAAGAGACAGCTCAGCCAGAAAGAATGGAGAAGGCTGCATATCCCCAGGTAGCCATGATGGTACCCGGGAACTGAACCCAGGTCCTCTGGAAGAGCAGCCAGTGCTCTTGACCACTGAGCCATCTCTCCAGCCCCAGAAGCTACTGATCTGTCTGACTGGGGCTCTCAATCCCCGCTATGTTTTCATGTAATAGCCCTAGGAGGCAGTGGGGTCCAACCTGGGCAGGAAGGCAGAGGACAGGAGGACAGGACTGGAAACAGCCTAAGGGGAAGTTTTACACCTAAGATTTAGGAGTTTGCAACCTCAGGCTTGCAAAAGAGGTTGAAGCATAGAGGTATGGAGCAAGGCTTCCTAGTTTACAATCTTTACTCTGGCTCTTTGACCTTTGTCCTGGTGCTTAACCTCTGTTTCATCTGACTTCCAAGTGAGGATATTGTCATATAAATACTTCTGGGGCTTTGTGATTGTATTTGGAAAGCGCATAAAACACCAGCACAGACTGAGCATTTTGTAAAATTACTGTTACTAAATGTTGCGGTCAGTCTCATATAAGGCCAGCCTGGCCTCAAACGGACTCACTTTGAACTCTCTGTCTTCTTGCCTCTGCCTCCCAAGGAGTGTTAGTGATTAGTTAGTGTGTCCTGATTAGTTTGTTATCAACTTGACACAGGCTAGAGCCAGCCAGAAAGTGAACCCTCAATAGAAGTTGGCCATCAGATTGTCTAGAGGTAAGTCTGTGGGGACATTTTCTGGACTGATTGCTATGGAGGGAGATTCGAGCCTACCGGGGCTGTGCCACCCCTGAGCAGATAGTCCTGGGTGCTGTAAGAAAGCAGGGGGAGCAAGCCCTGGCACCATTCCCCCGTGACCTCTTCTTCAGTTCCTGCCTCCAGGTTCCAGCCCTGACTTCCCTGAATAATGGTGATGGACTCAATAAACTTCCTGTTGCTTTTGGTCATGTTTTTTAATCACAGAAATAGAAAGTGACTAAGATAGTCACTATAGTAACTAGCTCCAGTCCTCACCTAATATAGAGCCTTGGTGCTATGAGAAAGAAGGCAAGAGAGAGGCAGAAGCCTTCAGTAGGAGCAATGGAAGATGAGATTGAAAAAGGGCACAGGTGCCAGGCTGTGGTGGCACGTGCCTTTAATCCCAGCACCCGGGAGGCAGCAGCAGGTAGATCTCTTTAAGTTCAAGGCCAGCCTGGTCTACAGAATGAGTTCCAGGACAGTAGGGCTACACAGAGAAACCCTGATTTGAAAAACAAAACAAACAGAGAGAGAGAGAGAGAGAGAGAGAGAGAGAGAGAGAGAAGAAAAAAGTGTACAGGATACCTCAATGCCTTTGAAAGGGATACAGTGGGGACTTCTAGGGCTCCCCTAGTTGGGGAAATAGGTGACAATTTTGAATGAGATTGAAAACAAGCTGGGCCTAGTGGTGCACAACTTTAATGCCAGCACTTCAGGGACAGGTGGATCTGTGTGGGGCCAGCCTGCTCTACACAGTGAGTTCCAGTACAACTATGGCCACACATTGAGACCCTGCCTGGGGATGGGGGGAGACTAAAAAGCTGAAACCATCTGGTCCTGGGCTTTTTTTGGTTGGGAGACTTTTGATGACTGTTTCTGTTTCTTCAGCTGTTATAGGTCTGTTTAATTTGCTTATCTGGTCTTGATTTAATTTTGGCAAGTGATATTTATCCAGAAAGTTGTTCATTTCCTTTAAGTTTTCCGATTTTGTGGAGTACAGGTTTTCGAAATATGACCTGATGATTCTCTGTATTTCCTCTATGTCTGATGTAATGTCCCCCTTTTCATTTCTGATTTTGTTAATTTGGATATTCTCTCTCTGCCTTTTGGTTAGTTTGGATAAAGGTTTGTCTATTTTGTTGATTTTCTCGAAGAACCAGCTCTTTGTCTCATCGATTCTTTGAATTGTTTTGTTTCTATTTTGTTGATTTCAGCTCTCACTTTGTTTGCTTCTTTTTGTTCTAAAGTTTTCAATGTTCTGTTAATTCACTACTGTGGGATTTTTCTAGATTTTCTTTATGTAGGCATTTAGTGCTATGAACTTTCCTCTAACACTGCTTTCATTGTGTACCAGAAAATTCATTTTCATTGAATTTTAGGAAGTCTTTAATTTCTCCCGTTATTTCTTGCTTGATCCATTGATGAATTCAGGTGAGCATTGTTTAATTTCCATGCGTTTGTGGGTTTTCTGGAATTAGTATTGCTGTTGACTTCTAGTTTTATACCATGGTGATCTGATAAGGTACATTGGGTTATTCCAATTTTTTTGTATTTGTTGAGGTTTGTTTTGTTACCGAATATGTGGTCAATTTTTGAGAAGATTCCATGAGGTGCTGAGAAGAAGGTATATTCATTTTTGTTTGGATAGAGTATTCTATAGATGTCTGTTAAGTCCATTTGAGTCATAACATCTGTTAGTTCTCTTATTTCTCCATTCATTTTTTTTGTCTGATTGACCTGTCCAGTGGTGAGAGGGGAGCTTTGAAGTCTCCCACTATTAGTGTGTGGGGTTTAATGTATGGTTTAAGCTTTAGAAGTGTTTCTCTCACATATGAGGGTATTGTATTGGGGGCATAGATGTTCAGTATTGAGACTTCCTCTTGATGGATTTTTCCTGTGACTAATATGTAATGATGTTTGATTGATTTTAGCTTGAAGTTTATTTTGTTAGATATTAGGATAGCTACATTTGCTTGTTTCTTAGGTCCCTTTGATTGGTATATTTTTTCCCAACCCTTTACTCTGAGACAATGTCTGTCTTTGAGGTTGAGATGTGTTTCTTGTATGCCGAAGGATGGATTTTGTTTTCATATCCAATCTGTTAGCCTGTGCCTTTTTATAGGTGAGTTGAGTCCATTTACCTTAAGGGATATTAATGACCAGTGATTGCTAATTTTGTTATTGTTGCTAAATTAATTTTGTTTTCATTGTTGGTGATGTTAATTTGTGCAGTTTTTTCTTTGGGATCTGGGTACCATTTTTGTTTTTCTTTCTTTCTTTCTTTTTTTTTTGTTTTTCAATACAGGGTTTCTCTGTAGCTTTGGAGCCTGTCCTGGAACTAGCTCTTGTAGACCAGGCTGGTCTTGAACTCACAGAGATCCACCTGTTTCTGCCTCCCGAGTGCTGGGATTAAAAGCATGTGCCACCACCGCCCGGCTTGTTTGTTTTTCAAGACAGAGTTTCTCTGTTACAGCTTTGGCTGTCATGGAACTTACTTTGTAGACCAGGCCAGTCTTGGACTCACAGAGATTTGCCTGCCTCTGTCTTCCGAGTGCTGGGATTAAAGGATTAGAGCCACCATTCCCTGGCTCTTGGTACCTTTTTCTTAAGAGATTAATTTTTAATTATGTATGTGTTGGGGGGGGGGAGGATGCATGTGGGGGTGACCAGAAGAGGCTATCAGATTCCTTGGAGTTTGAGTTACAGGTGATTGTGAACTACCTGATGTGGATGCTAGGAACTTGAACCTGGGTCCTCTGCAGGAGCAGCAGGCCCTCTTAACCATTAAACCATCTCTCCAGCCTCTCTCAGTACCTTTTTTCAACATGGCAAATTCATATTGATATTGTTTCCCCCTACCTCTCCTAGTGACTCTGCAATCTTCATCCCTGAGCTCCCTGCCTGTCCTCAAGTCCCACCTAACCTAACCTTTTCCTTCCTATTGACCATTTAGCTCTTTACTAAACCAATGAGAGCAACACATCTTCACAGTATACAAAAAGACTTCCATAATAAAGCATCCAGGAAGAGGGTGGAGACTTTGAGGCCAGCCAGAGAGGTGCATAGTAAGGCTGCTTGGAAACACACACACCAGAATTGGGGGGAACTAAAGGTGTTTAGTTCCTGGACAAGGGGTCTAGGACAAGGAAGCTGCTGGGTCTTGGGAAGGGGGCATCTTTCTTGGGTACTTGGACAGGGTAGCCTTTACCCATCCCTAGGATGTGTAGAGGATGTAGGTGGATGGAAGGGTTTTGGTCTGTTTCACAGATCCTCTTGGTCTCTTTCAGAAACTGGGGATATTTATATCTGGGGCTGGAATGAGTCAGGGCAGCTGGCCCTGCCCATAAGGAACCCTACAGAGGACAAGAGAGTAAGCAGGGCAGGTAAGGTCAAGCTCTAGGATTCTTGACTGTGTGCTAGACACTGAGGTGCGGTGCTCAGGATCAGAACTCATCCTGGCTACTGCTGGACAGACACTACTCCTTGCTGTGGGAGGCTGATGCTAGTTTTGGCACAGCATAACCGGCAGGTGTGTTGAGTAAGGGCTGGGTACCAGTTCTGGCACTAGAAAGTGTTTTACAGAGCAACAGTAGGAAGATGCAGTGTGTGAATGAGGTTTGCCTCCATGCTTAGAATGTTAAAACATTATAACCATTCTAAAGCTACAGAATTGAATGAAGATTGTCTCGAAGAGGAAGCAGCTATGACTGATCTTGGGGCTCCTGCCCCCTTCATAGCCATCCAGCCCTTCCCAGCTCTTCTGGATCTTCCCCTGGGCTCAGATGCAGTCAAGGCCAGCTGCGGATCCCGACACACAGCCGTGGTAACACGTAAGTGGACTGTCTTAGGATGGGGCAGTATTCCATTTCATTCTTTAGCTGGGGGTGCAAAAACTTTGCCCATCCTTTTTTAATTTTAGTAAGAGTTTCACTTTATTACGCAGGCTTGTCTCAAACTCCTGGGGTCAGGCTTTAGAGTAGTTGGGACTATGGGCATATGCCACTGCACTCTGTGTGTGCTGGGGACTGGATCTAGGGCTTCTCACGTACCAAGTAAGCACATCACTGAGCTATGTTTTTAACAAAATTACCGTATTATAGCATCTTGATATAGACTTTATGATCAGCTGTCTCACTTTCGTAAATGCTGGGCATGGCAATGGCAGCACACACTTATAAATCCTAATTCTTAGGATGAGGCAGGAAGATTGGGACTGTTTCAAGTCTTATCGACTAAAAACAGACAATAAAAAGGTTACTTGCATATCTTTAACAGCTCCACAGCCTCAGACCCAATAGGTTCCTTCTAGAAGGAAACCTGCCCAGTCTAGGGTGTGACTCCATGTGTACATCTCAGAATTCCAGCGTGTTGTTTATGGCTTGTGCCAGGCCAGGTAGTATCTTGTCTAATTAGCAGAACAATGGTGGCAGCTACTTGCTCTTTGGTTGCAGGAACAGGAGAACTCTATACCTGGGGCTGGGGTAAGTAAAAAGGTTTTGTGATTCTTCCAAGGGGATGAATATAGAACAGTTGACATAAAGCCACACAAACTAGAGGGGGTAGGAGCTTTGGCCTGACAAATGGGAGGAGAGCTGAAAAGTTGTCTTCCTTGGATGGGAACAGATGTCTGCCAGACAGAGAGAAATAAGGAGGTGCCTCTGACCATCTTGACATAGGAAGCAGGGAGTCATTGCCACTGTCCTCTGGGCAAGCCCAAAATTTGCTTGAGCTTTGAAGCTTCCTGGCTTCACAGAAGGCCAGCAAGGCCTATCAGAGAAAGGTGCTTGCTACATTCTAGGTAAATATGGACAGCTTGGCCACAAGGACAGCAGCAGCTTGGACCGACCCTGCCGTGTGGAATACTTTGCTGAAAAACAACTCCAAGTGAGGGCTGTTACCTGTGGACCCTGGAACACTTATGTGTATGCAGTGGAGAGAGAAGAAATCTGACCCATGTCATGTGAACCCCCAGGTTGCTAATGGAGCCTAGGTGAGAATGAACTGTCATAAGCACATGCCAACATAAGTTTAGAGTCAGGGATGCAGATATAAACGTTTACTTTTGGAACAGGGCTAGGGATCAAAAGAACCCTAGATCTTCTGTGTGCTGGACAAGCATCAATAGCTAAGTTATATATACCCTAGCCCAGCTTTACTAGTTGCAAAATGAGAAAATACATGAATAAAATGGTATTACCCAAATGAGAAAGACTCTTAAATCTTTTAATCAGTAGGCCAAAGCAACCATTGATTTGGAGAAAAAAACGTTTTCCAAAGGTAACTATATACATTTTATTTTAATATATTTAAAAAGAGAACATATATATGAGTAAAAGACAGCATGTTGACAGACTGGGTTTTGAAGAATCATTTACTATGTTGGCACAGGCACAGAATAAATAATAGTGCTTTGGGAAGAGTAGTGATCCTCTGGGTGCTTAAAGAAAGAGCCTGGTGGGTGTGGTTGCAGGAACACTGCCTTTTAGATGTGCAAAGTTGCTAATGTCCATGACCAAAATGGCCCAAACCACCCAGAAAGCCTCTCCATTTTGTTGTCAACTACAAGAATAACAAGAGTAACTGCGTAGTGAGCACAGGGATGGAAGACTGGAAAAACAACAGGTCAGACAAGCATATGTGTTCAAGCACACACTTCATAAAGAGACTGCACTGTCTAAATGCTGTTACTGCTACTCTTCGGCGGCAGGTCAAGCCATCTCAAATGCTGGAACACAAGAAATCCTCACTGGGATAGTGTGGGGTGAGGGGCACAGGTCTCTGGATTAAAATCAAAGCTACCATAGCTACAGCCTTAACTTAAAAATTGGTAAAGATGTTAACTGCTAATCCCAGGTCTACAGGCCAGAGTTGTTTCATGTCCCATACTCCAAGGCTGGGCACAATCATTTTCTCATTTTCAATACAGTAGTGAAATAACAAACCCTTGACCATTCCTTAAATAGAATTATGGGGTAGAGAACAAATTAGGCACCAGATGTTAAAATGTGTACTAGCCATCATATTAGATTTTCAGGTGTCTCTGGCCCTCCGCACCTATGAAGGCTTCATCTGTTGTCCTCATGCCTCAAGTTAGGCCCATGGTAACACAACAAGGTTGTTTCAAACACACCTAAACTGAAGAAAAGCTACAAAGTCACCCCTGTATAATGAGTCAGTCCAGTCTAGGTACAGGAAGCCACAGCTGGCTAACTGGTCAAGAATTCTCAGGACTGGATGTTGGTTGAATTGAGGATTCGAGAAGTAGCGTCAGCTCTGGAAGCCTTTGAAAGTTCTCGCTGTTGAAGAATGAACATCATCAGTGAGAGCACTAGTGCATGCCCTTCCACTCAAACTTGCAGCACAAAGCCCCCAGGGCAGTTTCCCGAGAGTTCCTAGCACGGCTGTGCTAGGAACATACTGAGGAAGCCTGAGCACCATTCTGTAAAGTCACAGGCCCAGGACATGTGCGCATGTGCCCCGCTCTGAGCCTCCACCAGTCCAATCTTAAAACTTCACGAGAAACCCTTACATTTCACAAAGTTACTTGTGTAGTTTGTGTTGTAAAGCCAAGCAAGCAACAAGCTTTGTTTTTTCCTCTCCCTGTTGGGATAGAACCCCAGGGCCTTGCACATGAGTAAAACAAGGGTCAGACCGTTTATCTACCAATCCCGGGGGCTGAGGGCTTTGTAACCTGCTGGTGATTTGATCTCATGCTGGAGTACATGGTGGAAAGCACAAGAGAACAAGAGGTATTAGTAGAGGTCAGCTGAGTGAGTGAGTGGCTTTGGTGCTGCCCCGTGGAGTTTGTCAACAATACCCAAAACCCTCCAGGCTAGTGTAAGTAACATTAAGCCTCATAGATAAAATGGGCTTTGGATAGCAAGCAAAAAAGGGCGGGAAAGCTAGATCTGTTGTTTGGCAATTAGCCAACAAGAGTTTCATACATCCATTTCTTCTGATAGAAACCACCACCACCCAGGTCATTGGGAAGAGGGGCCAGAACATGAAGAATTTCAACATTTCCAACTGGCCACACTCATTTTGTCCCAATTTCCTTCCCTGTGGCTCCGAGAGGAGGCAGTCCCAGCTTTAACTTGGTGTTCCCCACAACAAGGGTGAAGGGCAGCCTTCACCTCTCACTGGTGAGATAATGAAAGAAAAAACAGGTGGTTAAGGAAAAGGCACTGTGGTTAGGTGTCAGCAAATTCAAAGCAGGTAAAGGAAGGTAATGACCATTGTAGTGAAAAGGCATTTCAGTCTCACACATTAGCGACTCACTAGTAGAAATGAAATAAGTAGAGGTAAAGTAAGCATAGGCCAGCCTATGTAGACAGACTGGGCGACTCAGCCCTGTGGGTTAGTAGGGTATATACTCCAGGAAATAATCAGCACACAGGCCAAGAGCCTCAGCACAAGCAGCACACAGCTGGGGTTCCCGTCCCCATTTGGGGGAGAGGAAGCTTTCCTCTTTCTAGCACATTCTAGGCCTTTGATATAACTAGGGGATGAGGGCCAGGTATTTTTTAATTGTAATAGGTAAATATATATTTGCATAATCTTAGGTGGGGGCTGAGAATCCAATTCAAGTCTGAACATGTTTTCTTGCTAGTCAGCACGTCAGTCTACTGAAAATAGAAACCAGACACTTACTTTTGAAGTCCACAATAAGAATTCTTGTGGGTTTTTGTTTTTTATGGTTGCTGTTGCTTTGGTTTTTGTTTAAGGGTCTATGTGGATACAGCTGAGATTATGGTTAGTGTAGTACTGTGCCCAGGTGGGAATGAAGCCAGCAGGTGACAGATCAGTTTAGAAAAGGGGACATGGGGCATGCAGGGGTTACCATACAGACCTGAAGCCCAACAGTGGAGCTGTCAGAGAGGGACGGATCCTTCTAAGAACAAAGAATTAAGACAATTACCAAGAACTCCACCAAGAGAGCACCAGGGCAGTCATTAGCAGGTTACCTCCTGCAGCCAGGGAATGGTACAGTAACTTAAGCAGAAGGATTCAGGTCAAATGTCTAGTTGCTGACATCAGCTTCCTCGCTGTACACCCCTTAAGCCACCCACACCCTACCATGATCAAAGCAGGAAAGGGATTCTCAGCCTCTGGGTTACTGTCCTGACTGAATATCTTGGGCACCCTTGGGAAGATACCCACGCTGCCAACTGTGTGCTCCCCAGAGACTGGTAGATATCAAAAGGTGAATTACCGAAAACTCAGAATAGGTGCTGGCAACAGATTTAATGCTGCAGTTGTGCTGGAGGGGGGTCGAGCCAGAGTACCCACCGCTCAGGATGCTGCCATTGAGCTCCATGTTCTCCTTGTTGGCCCTGAGCTGGGCAGCTCTAGGCGTTTTCTTTCCAGAACACATAGAAGTGGCCACTGCCTGTATAGAGAAGAAAGATACCCATGTTATCCACCACCCTAGAATGAATGTGCTCACACAAACCACTGATGCTTCATATTACTCATGTCTATAATCCTACACTTCTGACTTAAAAATAGTGCAGTTAACTCAGATGTGGTGTTGCACATCTTTAATCCCAACAGAAGCAGGTGGCTCTCTGAGATCCTTAGTGAGTTCCAGGACAGCCAGAGCTACAGGAGAGATCCTGTCTCAAAACAAAACAGGTATGGTTTTAGCTTTTAAAAATGTGCTGGGGACCAAACCAATGGCCCACTGAATACAAGTCATGTTTGACTACTGAGCTATTAAACCCCTAGCTCCCAGCATAAATTATACTTCTTAGCAAAGTTCCTACTTGTCAGTGGGTCTAGTTATCCAGTGTCATATAGACTATAGTCCAGAAGCCACCTAACAGCCCACCCAGCCCTTCCATCAGTGAGGAGCAGTGACTGTTTCCCCTCATCTTTGATCATTCTCTAATGCCCAGCCTCTTAAACAGTGGGTGATGACCCACATGAGGTCACATAACTGAATGTGGTAGTCATGAAAAATATGGCTATAAAGTTTTTGAATGTGTGTGACCAAAAACTGATTCAGAATCAGTGAACCTGAGGTGCTTCCAGCATCAGTTGCTTGTGTAGTGTCTGTTTCACTGCAGCCTTTGCTTTGAACACAGCACACACTGGGAATCTGCATGTCATACTACTCTGTGCCAACAAATGCTGTCTAAATACCTTAGTGCTGATCAAGATACACTTAAGAGCATAACTGCAGTAGTCATCTTCACATAGAGTTCTGCTGTTAACAGGAGCATGATGGTTTAGTTATAGAAACAAACCATTAATATTTTCCTTACCATCAGTCCCTTTCATTGTACTGTTTGAACTGAACTTCAGCATGATATTAGGACAGAATTTACAACAAATCAAAGTGTCTTAAACTTCTGTAATTTTGTAGTATTTCTAATTACAATCAACATTAGTGATTATAAATCAAGCTACTGCCAGGCAGTGATGGTACACACCTTTAATCCCAGACGGGAATCTGAGTTTGAGGTCGGCATGGCCTACAGAGTGGTTTCCAGCACAGCCAGGGCTACACAGAGAAATTTTTTTTTTTTTTTTTTTTTTTTTGGTTTGGTTTTTCAAAACAAGGTTTCTTTGTAGCTTTGGAGCCTGTCCTGGAACTAGCTCTTGTAGACCAGGCTGGCCTTGAACTAACAGAGATCTGCCTGCCTCTGCCTCCCAAATGCTGGGATTAAAGGTGTGCACCACCACCACCTGGCTTTTTTCTTTTCTTTTTGAGACAAGATTTCTCTTTAGCTTTTGGGCCTGTTCTAGAACTCACTCTGCACACCAGGCTGGCCTTGAACTCACAGAGATCCACCTGCCTCTGCCTCCCAAGTGCTGGGATTGAAGGCATACACCACCAGTGCCCAGCGAGTGTCTTAAGGAGAAAAGCCCTGGTCTAATGACTATCTGGCTCTGGCCTGACTCTCAGAATCTCAATGATCACCAAACTGTGATCTTAGAAACTAGGCTGAGGAGGACCTCTAGGAAGCACACAGCAAACAGGGATATGCATGTACAGAATATACTAACCTTGCTGCCAGGTGGTGGTCGTGATACAGGCGAATGGTACATTGTTCCAAAGACTGGCCGAATACTGCTATTGGGTGTAGCACTGGACATGGTGGTAGTGTTCATCTAAGAACAGATACTTTATTGATGGGAGATTAACCACATCAGCCTTTCCAGCAACCCAGCTCCACCCTGCAGCACCAAGTTTCCAGGAGAGGAGCTACTACAGTATAAAGTTGGCTGTGCACAATGCTGCACAGCTTTAAGGAAATGTAAGAAATGTCTCAAAGCCTATTTAGATCGTCCAGATGGAAGTATAAACTTACCTACTTATGGCACAAGGCGTACAATTTGGCCTCATGAAATCATATATTCATATGAAGACTTACATGTTTATGGCAGCTTTTGTTTGTTTTGGTTTGGTTTTTTGAGACAGAGTTTCTCTGTGTAACAGTCCTGCCTGTCCTGAAACTCGCTTTGTAGACCAGGCTGGCCTCAAACTCACTGAGATCCACCTGCCTCTGCCTCCCTCGTGCAAGGATTAAAGGCCTGTGCCACCACTGCCCAGCTACAGCAGTTTTATCTGTAACAGCCCAGAGTTAGAAATATCC